AGACTATTGGCGATAGAAAGTTATAGCTGTGGCACGTCATGTATTATTTATAATAATAATGTTATTGTTCCTCGCCCGTTACACCCCCCTCCGATAACCAATGGCTAAGTTGTTTATCACCCATAGGGGCCGGGCGTACCTACATTCATAACACAAATATAGATACTATGGTTGCACGACGGCCTATATATGTAAATCTTCATTATGGGATATTCTTAATGAACGATCAGCCACTATTAAACATATGGAGCGCCAAATAGATTATGTTTTGAGAGAAGTGAGCTTAATTATTTATTTTTATGATAACTGAAATGAGATTAATTTAAAATTAAAATATTTTTTTTAGATACAGGAATATTTAAAACTACCACTGATTTCTCCAACATCAAATCCTTTAACTTGGTGGAGCTCTAACCAAACTACATTCCCAAATTTATTACCAGTTGCAATGAAATATCTAGGTATTCTTGCCACGTCTGTTTGCTCTGAGCGCATGTTCTCTAAAGCAGGACAAATTGTTACCAAGAGGAGACAGAGACTTAGTCCTGGATCAGTAGAACAATTAGTATTTCTACATGATAATTTATAAATTAATTAATGATATTTTATATACCTATATTTTAAAAATAAATAATAAATATTATGTATTATGTATATTTCAATTTTCAATTTTATTTGTTTTCTTAATAATTAATTATTAAATTATTATTATTTATTGTGTACCTATGTAAAAAAAAATAAGAAGAAATCATCTAAATTTATTATAAATACAATTACATAAACATAAAACTTTAAAAGTTTAAATGTAGAATAGGTAGGTAATACAAACATTTTAAATACAATAGTAATTTATTACTAAATACTAATTAATAATTGTGGTTGATTTAATTTGTAGGCTGGTACAATGTACATGATAAAAAGTATTGAGTTCGAGTTCGAGTTCGACTTAAAATGATTCTAGGTTCGGTTCGGTTCGGTTCGGTAGAAAATATTACGGTTCGGTTCGGTTCGGGTTCGAAAAAATAATTTAAAGTTCGGTTCAAGTTCGGTTCGATTTAAAAAATCAGCGTTCGACCCATCACTATCAAATACAGATCCAACTATCCAAAAAAGGTCAAGTGTTGATATTTGACATGTTAGATGTATCTATTAACAACTATCCATGCGGGTATTATAATCAGTGGCGTATTTACGGGGGGGGGGGGTCCATGGGGTCCGGACCCCTCCCATTGACTCGTGTCTCGTACATGTTAAATGTTGTGCAGTTTTTACAAGATTAAAAAACAAATTTTATTATACGATTTTACGGATTGTATAAAAAATTTTCGAAGCTATAGTTATATCAACATTTTCAATAAATATCGTGATTATTTTTATCAGTTGGTTACCGGAAATGGTTGAAAAATACCAAATTCATTCTTTAAATCAAATATTTTGTAGTTTTGTACATTGCCAGTATCTACAACCACTCCAGAGAGATCTTTTTCAAACTTTTTAAGGTTGAAAAGTTATCTAAGATCAACTATGAATGAAGTAGGTACCTAATGTAATTAAGGAAATATTTGTATAAAAGTTATAACATATAACTATATATTCGATTCTGAGGGATCTATTGGTTCTACAATGGTGTTTATTTTTTTTCCCCGTATACAAAATTTCTTCCAGAAGGAGTGCTTCGATTTCAACATGTATAGACATATAGTAACTTATCTTTTAGAAAATTGGATCAAGATTACTATCTTAGAGAGGTCATTTTTTGATTTTCTCAATAGTTATTTAATGCCACTGTAAAAACCACCAAAAAATTACGAAAAACCTCTAAAAATGGGATTTTAATTTCTAACACTTTGTCTATCACCATAGAAAAAAATAAAAAATAAAAGTATTTCATTATTAATTCAACTAACAGGCTATAATAAATAATAACAATATAAAATATCTAGACTGACAAACCGTCTTCGCTCGGAATCGTTTTTCTTATACAATGATATTATATTATATCATTGAGTTCAACTTGTTCAAGTTTAATACAATTCATTATACATTGACCCACTTGTAACCTACTGTACAGCAGCAGAGTGACATCCACTCACCCGCTTTTTTTTAAATTTGTTTTGTACATATTATTATTTAATAATTAAAAACTCGACAATTTTATATCGTCTTATAAATATGGTATATTTTATTTAATAAAGAGTAAATGGGTGGTGTGGGGGGCTTCGTCCCCCGTGGCTCTGTGTTCTGGAGTTCTGGACCCTCCCCATGACAAATTCCTAAATACGCCACTGATTATAATATGTCAATTATTACAGAAACGAATTATACATAATATTATTACAGTTGTCAGTTATGAACAAATTTTATTTTATTGCCGTAAAACATGTTATAAAATAAAAATAAGTATGTTGTACCTAGCTATGTGTATGTACTTAATAAATTAAAATTTTAATAATTTTATCAAAAGTACGAACTTAAATATTTATACAAAGTCACAAAGATCTTAATATAATATTTCAAACATTTTCAAAAGATTATATCTTTATACTATCGAATATTGTATTCTTATTAAATCTATAATATAAATATATATTATAATATGTACTACATATTGTCGACATATTTACCATTATAATATGTATCTATTATGTTTTCCTATGCGGCTATGTGCCTATGTAGGTATTACGGTTTTGCATGGTATATCGTACGACCAAAACATTTTTTTACAAGAAAACTTGGAACTTTATTAACTTAAAAGTTTTTGATCTAATCAGTGTTTCTCTACAATTGTTTTACAAATAATTGGCGAGTAAATGTATAATCAATACCTACGCGTACTACGTAAGTAGGTTATATACTTATATATAGTCTAGTCTATACCACGTATATATATATAGACATATAGTAGCCGGTACACAGTCTGTTGCTTACTTTATTGTACACTCTACTCTATAGGTACTCTTAGCGACTTAGCCCTTATAGGCATTAGGCAGTGCGTGGCCTAAAATTCTAAAGGGGGGTTCACAATACACCGTGATTAATTTACACGACACGGTGACGGTGTAGGTGAACCTGGCTTAACAGTTCAACAGAACAACCAGTTAAATTTAATAAGAAGTTATAAATCTATCCACTCTAAAAAACACTAGCAATTATTATTTATTATATAGACAAACTATGTTGATTAAAGCATAACAGGCATGATGACTTACTTCGTAAAAACTCGAAATTAAAAGTACCTATGAATATAGGTAATATATATACTTAAGTTTATTATTCCTACCCACTCACGATTTTTGAACCATCAGGATCTATAGGTACGGCACCAGTGACGTATTGCTAAAAATATTCGTGGGTAGGTACCTATACGCATTTTTCATTGCGACTGGTAAAAACTAAAAACCTTATCATAGAAAAAAAAATGTTCTTACTTCTCTCAAAATTAATATTAAATCGGTAAATTAATACTATACTATAATCGGTTAAATAAATATTTCACCGAGGCCTAATTATACCGATTATCCAAGTACAAGCAGTATAACTACCTACTAACTAGTATAAGTTTTAAATTCAAACATTTAAATTATCTGATGCTAAAAAATCTATACCCTCCTTTGAAATGTTCGCATATGACATAGTATTATTCAACAGAGTATCATACATATACAATCACTAATCAGTGAGCAAATTGGGTATAATAGATTTTTTTTATGGGTAAAAAATAAAAATTAATAGTTGATATTTATTGAGTTTATGGTTCTATCTTTGGTTTGGTCATTGGTTCTGAAAATATTTTTTGATAATCACCTGCTATTATCTACTTACTACGTGTAGGTTCCTAATGACTAATGAGTATTAAAAATTCCAAACGACAACAGAATATTTTGTTTACATCAAATACTTATAGGTATAAAAGGGATATCCAGTACAACAGTACATACTACCTACTGAACCACCGTAGACCATGGTACATTTAGTGGGTAAATACACTAAAAAATTAACTAGAGAAGTGAGTACCTTATACACCGTTATGGTATTACATAGGTACCTACCCACAAAACATCACTGGATAATGGATATACTAAGTGTTCAAGGTCGATACAAATTCAAAATTTTTCCATGTTTGTATCACGAACATATAAAACTAGTTTTTCTCTTTAAAAATTATGAGATCTTTTATTAAGCCCACTAGCAAGTTGGCTAGTAAATTACTAGCAACTTGGTGTTATACTTATATAGTTATATAATTAGGCTTGGTAATTTAGTAAACGTTTACATATTATTATAATTTATATTGCATATTTTAGAGGTACTTGCTTACCTTTTATAATTAGACCTTTTTTACAACGGTTGTCAGGATAGAAATTTAAAAAATAAAGCAATCTAATTGTGTTGTAACGTGTAATAGTAGTTCCCACGATTTAAGATATATTAAATATTATATATTTAAGGTAGGTATGTCGTATGTCTTAAATAGTTAAATCTGGTACTGACCTACTAATATTAGTACCTAATATTGTATGCTAATTTTCAAATCTGTATTCATTCTTCAACAATTGGTCTACAGCTATTGGCAACACTGATAAACTTTATCATTATCTTAACGATAAGAGAACTAAAAAAAATGTATTGTTTTGATAATGACATTTATAGATAACATTTTATATTATACATATTAATATAGTAATATTTTATATTATACAGTATACTACTTAATAGTTAATAGTTATGCATAATACATATTATTATGATTTATGTTTATGAAAATGTTGAGAATTCTTGATCTTTTTTATTTTCAAATAATTGTTAATATAATATTATTTTGAATTATGTTTGATAATGGTAAATTCAATTTATTATAACACAAAATTAAAAAAAATAACTAAATCTAAAAACAATTTATCCGAATCTAAATTAATTAAATTAATTAAAAACATTCAATCTTAGTATCTGATTTACCAAATTTTATTTAATTTTAACATTTAATTGAAATTATTGTAAAAATGTTGCCTTTGAAACCACCAGTACCAAAAAAAAATGTAAAAAACATTAAACTAGTTGATTTTCCAATTTATGATGAAAATGGAGAAATTTTAGATCAAAATTCATGGCCAAAATACCAAGGAATTTTTAATGGAAAAGTTATTATCATCAACGATTTAAATGACAAATCACGTCTTTGCAATTTGGTTTGTTAAATGTTAAAATTTTATTTTTAGGAATATGAATTAATCTTTTTTAATATTAGGGATGTTTTGGACAATTGGGTATAATTGACAAGGACAAATTCATAGATTACAAAACCCTACAAAATCAAGTTCTAAGGCAAAAAAAGAACTGGCAAGCAATGGAATTAGTGCCATTTGATTTTCCTCATAATAACCAAAACGTGACTGATGAAAAAAACTTACACATCAAACTTCAAGAAGATTATGTTGCTAATAAGCCAGTTTATAATAATTGGAAAGAATTAAAATCAAGTTGTTCTACAGAATATGAACAGTTGTTAATTCTATCTGGCGTTCAACATGAATTATCATACTTTTTACTTTTAGAAGAAGCCTTTTTTTTATGTTACACTTTAGAATGTTTGGAAATGCGAAAAGAAGACAGTTCACTTATAAGTATAGTTGAATGTTGGAAGCAATTTAATGGTTTGAAAAAAAATTTTCCCTATTTTTATGCAGCTTATCATTATTATAGATCAAAAGGATGGGTTGTCAAACCGGGACAACAGTATGGTGGAGATTATGGTAAGTTATTAATAATGAATTCCAATAATTATTTTTTTAATTGGTACATACATTTTTTTAGTACTGTACAAATCATCACCTATTTACTATCATTCTTCATATGTGGTAGTGATCAGCGTTAATGGTCAAAATAGTGAATCGCTACCATCATGGCCTTCGTGGTATGGATGTGGTAGAGCAATAGAAGCTGCCAGTAAAGAGCTACTTATATGCACAGTTCTTGGTCCTGCATATGAAGAAGGAATGCTGATCGATCTGTCACAATACACTGTCAATGACATTATAGTCAGACGTTGGGTGCCATCTCAAAACAGAAAAAAACCTTAATGTTGTTAATATGAGTTAACGTTACAAAAAAAAATAGTATATTGTGTGACTAAAAACAAAAATATACAGATTAAATGACTATTTTAGGTCAGTTCTTTCTAATCTATGATTTTTTTTTAATTTCTTTAACTTTTCATCTTCTGTACTTCTGCATTTTTTTTAATTCCTGTTAGTCTGTATTGTCTTCGTTCTTGTAAATATTGATCTCGACATTCTTTAATAAAATCTTCATTGACAAACCACTTAGCCATACAATCATTTAGTCCTTTTACTTCTTTTCTGCATTTATAAAACATCCAGAATCCAGTATTCAAGCAACAATCTCCAAAAACTAAACACAGTTTGAAACAATTAATTTTTACCAATAAATAACAAACCTAGACCTAGTGATATTACCTTTATTTTCTTCAGAACATTTTTCATATTTTGCTCGTTCTCGTACAATTTTTGGTATTACTACATTTTGTTCAATTTTTCTTAATTTATAGCTATCAGGATCTCCTGGAAATATAATTGAAACCATTTTTAAAGAGATAAACATTTAAGGAAAGTATCATTAGAAAATATGCATACCCAACCCGTGCGGTCCTCCTCCATATCGAGGTGTACGTTCCTCCTTAACTTCTGAGGATGCAAACATCACAGCACACAATAGTGCCTATTATGATGATGACAGTAAAAAAAAAAGTTTGTCTATAAGCTAGTATTACAAATGTATAAATTGTAAGAATATTATTTAAACAGAAAGAATATTTTTAAAACTAAAAGTAACTTGAAACAATATTACATAACTATATGAATATTTTATGATTTTAAATTCCAAAAATGTCCACTTGCAACTTACTTTCCAAGCTATTTCTAAAACATTAATCCTGCTAATATTAATTTGATATTACTTTATCAATCGCACTATCAGTAATTTTGATTTTCTTCATTTTTATGGTTTAACCATGTTTAACCATGGTCTAACCTCAATTTAATAAGAAATTAGTATTTTAGGTTATGTGATTAGTTTGTTGTCAAACTCAAATTCGCTTAATCATTTTTCGAATACATAATATATACTAGTCACTGTCTAGTGTCTACTCAGTACTTACAAATACAATACTTTGTAGTTTGTACTGAATATCTTGATTCTTGAATCTTCAACGCGTTGAGTTTCTTTAAACAACACAGTTGTTGATGATTTAACATAAGTTTGTAATTTTTAAACGTAACTGTTACCGACAACACAGGTATGTCATATAATATTATTCAGTTTGTATATGTTTAAACACTAACATATTACATTAACCTTTTGTCTGTAATTTATTCGGTTTTGTTTTGCGGATAGTTCAAAAGTCATGGATCGTCTATTGAGGTTGGGTGGTGGTATTCCTTTGGGACAAGGGTCGGCACCTGCTGCCGATACTCCTGTTGTAGACACTGCTGAACAAGTATATGTGTCGTCGTTGGCCTTGTTAAAGATGTTGAAACATGGACGTGCTGGAGTTCCTATGGAAGTTATGGGCTTGATGTTGGGTGAATTTGTGGATGATTACACCGTACGTGTCATTGATGTATTCGCCATGCCTCAAACTGGAACCGTAAGAATGTTTTACTATTATTTTTTTTCCCTTGATGTTAATAATTAATGATTTCAGGGTGTAAGTGTTGAGGCTGTGGACCCAGTATTCCAAGCAAAGATGTTGGATATGTTGAAACAAACAGGCAGGCCAGAGATGGTTGTAGGATGGTATCATTCTCATCCAGGGTTTGGCTGCTGGTTGTCTGGTGTAGATATTAATACACAACAAAGTTTTGAAGCTCTCTCTGAAAGAGCTGTTGCTGTTGTAGTTGACCCAATTCAAAGTGTCAAAGGTATTAATTTGTTTATTATTTTTATATATGCGAATACAAAAAGTAAATTAAAATTAAATCTAATAAGCATAGTTAAGTAATTTAATATAGTATAGATATTGCAACTTTTTTAACAGTTTAGTTTTTTAAATACACTTTACTAGTGTAGTCTTATCAAATCATTTAAATGAGTTATTTTATTTTTAAAATCTTAATGTTTTTAGTGAAATGGCAACCATTATTGAAGTATTTTTTGTCAATTTAAAATTAAAGATTTAAAGAAAAATATTTTGTGAATGTTTATGGAAGAGGTATTCACACTTTTTCATCCCACGGCTCCTTCTCATTAAAATGTTTAGGTAACTCAAATTATTAAGGACATAAAAACTTTTATTAAATTATTTTTTATTTATACATTAATTTTCAGACATAGAATGTATTAAATATGCATAGAAAACCAAAATTGAATATAAAATGTTAAGAATAAAATAATATTTAAGTTTTAGTAAAATGATTATTGTTACACACTAATATTGCCAACATCATTATTCTATTCATTATTTTTTCTCATCTGTACCGCAGCTCTAAGGTATTCCTTGAATGTACAGTTTGAATGCCTGAGGGTTATGGTGTAAGGGTATAAACTAAATTTAAAAATTACATACTAGTATAGTACACTTGAACAAAAAAATATTAGGTACCTATACTTGTATACTCTAGTTCACTCCATATATTTATAATTACATATTATTAAAAAAAATGTAATAGATTTTTAAATTGCATTAATATAATGTTAATGTCATATTAGTATTTATGTATCTATTAGCTCAATCTGAAATCAATTATATTTTTTTTTATTACTTTAACAGATTCTGAGCTTCATCATACCTACTATACTTTAACATAATACTCTATTCATTGTAAAAAAAAACACCTGATAATCATACCACATCTAACCTTAAAAAGACATACTCACATATCCTATTAACACATAACTACATAATATACCAAAATACACCTTCAGTAGTTCCAATAATTATGTGTCATTAGCTTTAATATTAGAGTGAATTAACCTATTTTTAAACTTAAAATTAAGAACATTATATGTTTTCTCTTATTGGAATTTTACAATGTTTTACATACTCATAACTTGTTTAAAAACTAAAATATTGTAAAAATTAAACGAGAGACCGTAGATAATGTTTTCACCTTTAAGTCTTATAGTATACTCTATTAAAAATAAGAACAGTAGTCAACTTTTGCGTAAGGGTGTTTGTTCCAAAGCACTGGCCAATCACTTTGACTCGATAGGAAAAGAGTCTGACCTTCGCTTACAAAAACTCATCACCACTGATTACCATTCTTATTTTGAATAGAGGTTAGGTCAATTCACTATAATATTATAGTTACTAACTCAACATTTGAACTTCTGAATGTAATATATTTTGGTTGTTATGTGTTAGTAAAACATAGACAAAGACAATAAATGTAGGTCCTATTAAACTCTTCCAGACTGATAATAGGCAATAATGTCTATTAATTCTAAACTAAGAACAAAAAAATTAAGTTACTTTAAAAAAAAAACGTATCTGTTATTCTATAACATTTAACAAACATAATATGCTATGTATGCACTCTATTTAATTATTTACTAATGTTCTTTTAATTATTGAGAAAAAAATAATAATTAATTTAGCTTGTTATTTATTGTTTAGGAAAGGTAGTTATTGATGCCTTCCGTTTAATCAATCCCAATATGATGGTGCTTGGCCAAGAGCCAAGACAAACTACTAGCAACTTAGGACATTTACAAAAACCTTCAGTTCAAGTCAGTAAACTATTTAATATTATTTTTTTGATAATAATTGATGATACATTTTACATATTGCAAAAGATATAATATCATAGGTGAGTTGTAACATCTTATTTTTCATTTTAGGCTCTAATTCATGGTCTTAATCGTCATTACTATTCCATTTCAATCAACTACCGGAAAAACGAACTCGAACAAAAAATGTTATTGAATTTACACAAGAAATCATGGATGGATGGAATGGCACTTGAAGATTATGAGAAGCACTGTGATACCAACCGAACTACAGTCAAAGAAATGCTAGAATTAGCTAAGAGTTACAATAAAGTAAATACCTATTTTATTGTATAGAAAACAATTATTTACTCATTACTAAATGTATTAAATGTAATTGTTAAAGGCTTTGGAAGATGAGGATAAAATGACACCAGAACAATTGGCCATTAAAAATGTAGGCAAACAAGATCCTAAGAGGCATTTGGAAGAAAAAGTCGATAATTTAATGTCCGGAAACATTGTTCAGTGTTTGGGTTCTATGTTGGATACTGTAGTATTTAAATAATACTTATGAAAATATAATGCAATCAAGGAAAAAAATATGGAGAGAAATAAATTATTTTAAATTGTATATCAGAATTTAATGGCTAATATTTGTTTGCCGCTCCAATATTTCTATGAATATTACTCATAAGTCATAACTTTAATTTCTCTTTTTTTTTATTACAAATAAATCTTGATTAATAAAGGTTTCTATTCATATAATTTAAGCTAATATCATCGTTCATATTATTAGGCTTTAATTTAAAAAAAATAAAAATTCTCAATTTTATTTTAAGGTATTAAAGTAAAAAAAGGAATAATGAGTGTAATAAATAATAATAATATTTAATAGTTTACTAACTATTCAAGTGTTTTCATATAAAATAATTTTAACTAAGTTTTTATTTAATAAAAAAGTCTTTTTAAGAATTTTCCTCTCATTAATTATCATAAGTATTTATAAATCAGTGGTGGCTTGTAGATTATTAAAAATAGTAAAAGAGTTTTAAAAACACAAAGTCATTTACTACGTTTATATGATGGCGTTAAAATGGTTTAAGACTAAACCGTATTGAAAGTTAAAACGCTCGCGCTATGTAGTTTAAGAATTTAAAACCGTTTTATTTGCTTAAACCGGTTTATCAGATGTACATATAAACGTTTCAGCAAATAAAACGGTGAAACTTTCAAAATGGTTTAATCTTAAACCATTTTAACGCCATCATATAAACGTAGTAATTAACAGTTAAAGGTAATTTACAAATAGCTGTAAGCAGCTTCATGAATATGAATAGGTGACTATTGTCCTTAAATGTACTTTATAAAATACAGATATGAGCATTTATGAATGTTTATTAGTTTTTATACTGTTTAACTACAATGAAGTACACAAACTGTTGAATGAGGGTTGTGTAAGTCCCTTAGTATTTTTTTACTATACATATAGAGTATAGACATAAAATAAATTAAGTTAAATAAATATTTTGATATCATTTTTTATTTTAACCCCTCCCATTGAAAATATCTGTGTACACTACTGGTGAATTAACAGTACAGTCAAATGTGTTTTGTTTGTCTCTCACATCATTTAGTTTTTTTTTATATAATTCTATATGATTTATACTCTTTTAAATTAATTGCTGTACAAACATTTTTAAAACTTTATTGAAACATCATACTTTTTGTATAAAATGTATATTATTATTCTTATATTATATTTCCTATTTACATTAAACTATTTGGGTAGTGCTTATTGTTCATACACTTGTGTGCATAGTACATATTATATTCAAGTTGCTTATGTTTGAAATGTTTAAAATTAAACCTCTAAATGTCTGCTATATAAATCTGTTCTAAAATCACATTTTCTATACAGTCTATAGATATAAAAATAATTAAGTTATTACATTTCTGAAATTGATTTTGTAATAATCACTAAATTAAACTTGAAATTTGCATATAACCATCTTACTAATGAAAACAATTTAAATTAGCTCTTAACCTCTTGCTGTTTATTTCAAAAAGTCCACTGATTTTATGACACAAAGACAAAGGTATTGCAATTTAGTTAATTCGATAAATATATTATGCACTAAAACTTTATAATTAACATTATTAATCTAATATGTTACGTATAAGGTATAGGCAAATCAATTTTTGATGATGTTGATGTAAAATACGCTGCAATAATAATTAATAATGTTAAATAAAAAAGATATCCTTGCAAACCTCATAATTTATTAAAACAGGAGTATTAAATGTGAATATACTTATTTGTGCAATTAAAATATTAAAAATCTTTGTTCTAATTCTAAGTCCTTAGTGGAATTATTTTATAGGGCCTAATTATGTGTTTAATACCCCATACCGCGTATGATACAAATTATATTTTATATCTACGTGTAATATGGAATTATTAATCGTGTAACAGTTAATTTGTGACTGCATTTACATTATTTTAATTAATAACAAATTACCATTTATGGATTATTTTTAATTAATCAGATTACAAATGATAAGCTTTGATGTTTTTTGAAAGCTGTCGCCTGTCACCAAAGGCTGTCACAATAGTTTATATTTTATCAGTTATGGACTTAGATAAGACCCCAGTACCTGACTTTTTAATAAATATGTTTATGTGATTAAAGATTGTGAAACTTAAACTTATTTAACTAGGCTACGAAATATGAATATGTAAAAAATTAGTAGGTAGTATGATAAAAGAGCAAAGCCCCTTAGTTTGTGTGCGCTGTGTGGTACTAAAATGTATAATAAGAAAAGTTATATTATGTATTATGTACAATGTACTTTAATAAGTGCGTATAAGCAATAGAACATACCTACTCATAATACCCATCTGGACATCTATGATTTATAAAACATTGATTTGTAAAATACAAATATACAATATCCAAAATAGGGAGAAGGTAGGTATATATATTTATACATAGGCTCAGCGTTAATATATGAAGAGTGTTCCTGATCATTAGGAAGGTTACTGTATGTAAATCAAATTAAGCACAACATAATTAAAACGATTTCGATTGAAAACAGTCTGTCAGCTTTTATTACCAAGTATACAGGGTGTTTCTGAAATTAATGAGGAAACTAGTATATGCGTACTCAGTGTGATGACCCAATGATGATTTTTTTGAAAATTTTTTCTACCTTCAAAATCTGGGTTTTTTCAATTTATTTTTAGAACATTATATTAAATGTAAAAATAAATACTCAAGTTGTATTTTTTGTAAAAATCTCATACGAATCGAGTCGTCACATCATTTTTGAGCTTGTCGCGCGTTTTTCACGCTCGAACCGCCGATTAAAAAAAAATGGTGTGGCACATCGATTTGTATGAGAAAACTACAAGATAAACAGTGGTGATAGGTAGTTATTTGTTGAAATTTAACATACATGATTAATTAACACATTGTTTTACATTGTCAACTAATAAAAATGATAAATAATAACATAATTAGGGTTAACAGAGTCTTAAATGATCGAATTTATGTGTTAATTAATCGTGTATGTTAAATTTCAACAAATAACTATCACCACTGTTTATCTTGTAGTTTTCTCATACAAATCGATGTGCCACACCATTTTTTTTTAATCGGCGGTTCGAGCGTGAAAAACGCGCGACAAGCTCAAAAATGATGTGACACCTCGATTCGTATGAGATTTTTACAAAAAATACAACTTGAGTATTTATTTTTACATTTAAGATAATGTTCTAAAAATAAATTGAAAAAACCCAGATTTTGAAGGTAGAAAAAAATTTTCAAAAAAATCATCATTGGGTCATCACACTGAGTACGCATATACTAGTTTCCTCATTCATTTCAGAAACACCCTGTATAT